TATTTATAATATAAAATCATACTCAGTGTCCAATAGTATAGGAATTGTAATATAGTTACAGAATGTAGGCTGCTGAAACACTGTAAAATTATAATAGCATTTTCTGGTATAGAAAAAGTGCAAAGAGTTTTTTTACCACCTGGAAGAACACTTCAGATTTGGACCTTGACAAATCTCTATTCTGTTTCACTGATTTCCTTACATTTTTGTTTACTTGGCTTGGAATTGTTAGATAACTATAATTTCTGTAGTGTTAAGCATAGTTAACTGTTGGTTTAATTTGTTAACCTGTGATTGAAGCTTGAAGAAGCCCTTTCCTTTTCATGAACAAGACAACAGTTTTCTTTTGTTTTCTGACCCAACAGGGTCAATGTAAATTAGTCATTACAGTATTGATATCTCTTCCACCCTAAACTGTACTTCTGTTACTGAAAGAATTCCAACAGGAGGAATGCAGGCTCCCTGCAGGATGTTAAAGCAGGTTTCCTCCTCTACAGGGTGAACCTAGGAGGGATAAATGAGTTTTTAAAGAGAACCAAGGGGTTTGAGTAGAGTTTATTCAGTGTTTTCCCATACCTGCAGTTGAGAAGTGACTGAGATAGGAGAGGAGGAAGAGGAAGGGAGAGAGGTGGATTCCCTCCTCTGAAGGGAAACCCCGGCTCAGAAACCAGGTGATAAAGCCCTGTATTTTGGTGAGTGTGATCTCTCCTGTACCTTGAAGCAGGCAGAGGTCTCAAGGAAAGAATAACATTTTATTATGCAATCTGCATTATTGTTGGTAATGGCACAAGTATAGAAACAAGAAACTGAATTAAACACAATTTGATCCCAAATTGCATTATTTTACATATTGAGACCCCCCAATATTTTACATACTGAAACCCACAGCCTGCTCATGAGCATGGTGTCCAAAGGAATGACGTTGCAGTCCTCCCCACAGCATCCATACAATTCAGATCCCACTTCCACTCTCTCCTCTCCAAATTTGTATCTGCTGGCACTTCATTGGTTTTGGGCACAACAGATACAATTCAGGGGGAAGGGAGGAGGAGGACAAAAATGGTGCAGCTATTCTTATTTGATGGTGGATTTTGTAACAAGAAAGTGACTGAAGGGAGAGGCCTTTAAGCTGCATGGTTTCTCTTCACCAAAGAAATAAGATTTGAAATGAGGCATGAAGGGGTGAAAGATTCCATGTATAAACAGGTATCAGGTGAGCTTTGGTCATCACCTGCCATAGGGTCTGAAGCTTCCTCACCATGAATGGGCATCCTATAAAAGCTGTTCAGTCCTGGAAACAGGAGACATTTCTTTGCCTACTTTCAGGAGTGTGAAACAAGAAATAGCATAATTAGAAAATGCACCAAAGGAAAAAAGCTTCAGCAACCCTACAGATCACTTATTTTGAAATCAGACAGTTACGGATAATGGGAGTCAGCTTCAAAAAAAGAGAAAGTTTCTAGGGCAAAGATACTTCAATCCAGTCATTGATTAAAATACACATTTTTCTCTCCTGTATGTAGCTCATGAGAAAAAAAAAAAGGATTCTGAAAAAGAGAAGCCAAAGGAATTTAGAACAAAATCAGTTCACTCTGAATTAAAGAATGAACTTCTATTATTCAATAAAAATTTGAAAAGAGCGAGAAGCTTATCAGACTAAATTAAATGAGGAGCTCATATTTAAACGAGGACCACATTGTAGATGACTCATCGTAATTCAAGACATTTGTAACAGTGCAGAAGAAAACAGATGGTGCAAAGAATTCTCTGTACAAAACACAGATCAGTGCTGAGCTCGAGAGCCAGAAACCTCCCTTCAGCCCAGGACCAATGGCAAGAAAATGCTGCCCTTAAAGTGATTAAAACCCATGCTGCTCTTCTAAGCATTTCTTTTCTCACATGGTTTCGTTGGGTAACCATATTAGAGTTCTCCTGCAGCTACTGGATTTGAAACTAATTAAAAGAACTTCCCATTGATTCATCATAGGGACATTAGAGCAGTCTTTAGGAATGGGAAAATAGGATTTACCCATCTTACAATCTTCTGGTTAAAAAGAGCTTTAATAATGAGTGGATAGGATCTCTAAGGTCTAATTGACTTCTGCTCTGGTGAACAAGAGTTATAAGAAGCTGAAATTTCTCCCCAGAAATGACTGCTCTTTAGTAGCACTACACAACAAAAGAAATAGAAACTCAGCTAGCTGTGCTTTTAATTACTTGGTTTTGTTTGTTGTTTTTTCCCACAATACATTTCTGACTGGAATTCTACCTGGCAAAAACAGGATCATCCTTCTGCACATACAGGAAATGGTCAGTGGTGATTCTTCTGTGCCTTTTTGTTAAAAAGTACACTCCTTTTTTTTTTCTTTTTTTTTTTCCCGTTTCTTACTTGATACAAACACAAATACACTTCTCATATTCACAGCTTTATGTGCACATCTCTGCATTTGGATTTAGAGGATTCAGTGCTGCCACAGTGCTACAGGTGTGATGTGAGCTTTGCTGTATGGGCTTGTTGGTTTCAAGTGCAGGTCAAGCACAGGTAGTTTGGGGGAGATCTAAAGTAAATTTGTTCTGTTAATTTCCTATTGAGTTGTTTCCCGGGAGGACAACTGGGATTATTTCATATGCTGAGGTTTTGAGAGGATCTTCAAATGCATCATGACTATGCTTTTGAAATGCACTGCATCAAATGGAAGAGTTACTGTGTTGAGCTCAGGCTGAAAACATGCATGAAATATACAATTCCAAATTGTATAAATTTGGAAGTTAGAACACAAAGAAAAGCCCCCATCATGCAGTACATATGAAAAGCTTGTAAAGTTTAGGCATGTTTAAGGTTTGATTAAAGTTTGAAGACATGTAATATCAGCAGTCTATATTTTATAAGCCTCAAAGAGCCAAGAATATAATTTTACCTACAGCTTAACCTGGTGTTTTCTGCCATCAGTCAATAATTTTGCAAGGATTGGGTTGTCTGACCAGTGAACTCCCAGATGCAGTGGGATGAAGCTGCAGTGGAATGGGAGGTGGCCCAGCTGATGCACATCACCTCTGAGCAGGCACACAGGGGGTACCAGATGTATCCTAAAGGTTGCTATAGCTCCCTCAGACCCACCTGTAAATCACAGCTCAGTGCCAGTGAATGACTCAAAATGACAAATAGTGAAACAATTTATGTGAGCAGTGCCTTCCTATTTCCTAGGCCCTTGATCAGTGTTTAGCAATTACAAATCTGTGTTTGTTAGCTCCTGCTTTCCTTTAAACAGACCTGACCTTGTATCTTGCTTGGAGAAGCTGATTGTACCCCAGAGAAATATCATCAGAGCTGAACTTCACCCTCAGTTTCAAGAGTAAAAATTTCATTTTAGCTGAGGGAGTCGTTATACCTACCCAGGGATAACATTTTGGTTCAAATCCTGTGAATGCTTTTTATTTGTTTGTGTTTTATTTTGTTCAGTTATTTACATTATACTGTTAAATGACTTCCTGAAAACCAGGTTAATTCTTTACTCTGCATGGCAGGATATATTTTTCTTTTTTTTTTTTTTTTTAATCTCTGATACCCTTGCATCAGACCTGTGGTTAAAATGGCAGAAGGATAGTGGTTTCCTGTGTAAGCTCTTATGCTTTAATAAGTTTGGTTTTTTTCCCTGGTGTTATGTGTTGGGGATTTTTTTCACATTAAAAAGGACCAAACTATTATTCCACAGAATAGTTACCCATAGGGAAGACTGACAGGGGATGGAATTTAATTTTCTCTCTTAGATAAATGCATTATCACAGAGGAAGATGCACACGTCTCTGTGCAGTTTCCCTTTTTTCAAAGGTAAACATACAATTTTCTTTTCTTCAGTGTTCATTTGCATTCTAGAATTTATTTATTGTTTTCATTTCTTAAACTTTCTGAAATATTTACAGGAAAGAAAACAAGGCATGAAATTGTGTGACTAGAAGCAGATTGTCATTTCATTTTCCTAGGGAGATTCTTTCATTCAAAAGATAAAACCAGAAGTCATAAAAATATGTTATTTTTAGGAGACAACTCCATGGAAACTTGGAAGAAGTTAAGTAAGATTCAGAGGAGAAATGAATGGGGGAGGGTGTGTAGTAAACCGGTATTTTTAGTGGAAAGACAAATAGTGAAATCTGTGAACCATTTATTGTAGCTGGATTGTTGATCTTAGTTGTGTTCAAGGCTGTTGAATTGTATGACTGGGTTTGCTGTAACATTTGGGAAAGCTGCACATCAATACTATTAAAGCCACGTTAGTGTCTGGAGAATATTTTTACATGCTTGACCAGATTAATAAAATAAGCAAAGATCGTTTTCTAGAATGCAATCTTTGCACTATTTGAAATCATTGCATAGATAACCATGCTCCTTCTCTTCCAAAAAGGCAGAAGAGCTGGTTCTTAAAATTGGTTGACTCCAGGGTGAGATAATTTAGCTCTTGGGTGTATCCATGGGCCCCATCCAGAAGCTGCTTTTGCCCCACACTTTGCCCATACCCCAATCCCTTCCTGGAGCCTCTTGGTGCACACAGACACCTCACAAAGGGCTTTGCCAGAAATGGCCTTGCCAGAAAAGGGATTCAGTGTGTCTGTTTTAAGCTGTGCTGCTTCCAAAGAGTAAACTGAATGCACGTCCTAAACAGCTGAATTATAACGTGTAATGAAGATTAACCTGCATGCAGAATTTGCTGCCTCTGAAATGTTGTTCTGCCTGGTTGGGGCAGAGCCCAGCCCAGGCTTTCCTTTCTGTATTTTTGCCCAGAGCCATTTTTCAGAAGCTGCCCTGCACTTGAGCAGAGGAGTTCCCAGCGTGTACTTGAGACATTAATTCCAGGTTATATGGTTTCCCTGAGAATTGCCATCTGTCATGCTTTTCTGTCTGGAGGTCACTCCAAGTTGCCTCGGGTTGGTTTCCTCAGACAGGAGGTTGGAAGGATAAACGGTGTGCTTCGTCTTTAACCCTTAGTTATCCTTTTCCCTTTCAGCACCCACCTTGATAGGTATGGTCAGGAAGGACTGGGCTTCCCAAAACAGCATTGCCCTCTCCTGGCAAGAGCCGGACTTTCCCCATGGAGCAATTCTGGACTACGAGATCAAGTACTATGAGAAAGTAGGTCTCACTTACAGCATCACCCCCACTCAGACCCTAAAGAGCAATGTGTTTCGTATTTTTATTAGTATTTTTATTAGTATTTTTAAAGAACTTTTCACTTGACCCCACATACAATGCTGTGTATGCCAGACGTTTTATTTTGTGCTGATTTTTTGTTGTTTGCTTCTAACTTGTTAATGACTGTCTTGATTCACATCAGAATTGAGTAGAGCAGCAAGCAGATCGTACATTTACTTCTCTCATAGCAACTACATTTACAAACATGGATAAACATGCTCGAACATATTTTGATTTATGCACTGTAAAAACTTCACATTAGAGTGGCACTGACGCAACAGAATTAAAGTGAATGGGAACATGATTTCATTTTGAGGCAAAAGATATATTTATTTATTATTGCTCAAAAAAGCAATTATTTGTGCTTAAAAGGTAGAGTGTACCAGCCTTGTTTAGAGGGTTACAAAAGGTTACAAGAGAGAGAAACTGTCGGATTTCTGATGTTCTGTCAAAATTAGGCAATTTCCCACAGAAGAGAGCTACTACATGCATTACAAGTAAAGGTACGAGGTGCACACACAGCATGTGATGGGAAGGAATAATTTGAAGCCTCTCTCTCCATAAGCACAAAACAGATTTGGTCATTTCCAATTACTACCAGTAAAAAAATCTGCTCTGACCAACGCCTTCAATCCTGAAGACATAGACAGGAAAATTTTGGTGTCCATACCTTAAACAGTTCCATGCTAAGTCAGTTCTTGCTGTTTCCCTGCCCCCATCTGAATTGACAGAGGAACTGATGTGCAAGTATGAAGATCACAAAGAACAGAAATACAAACCAAGTCATGAAAGTATTCGGAATATTAGGCTCTGTAAATATCTGAGAATTTTATTCCTTGACTGCACTTCTCTATTGAGATTATACAGTTTTAATGATGCAGTAGAAAGGGTAAACTGGGGAAAAAAACCAAACAACATTTTAAATAGGACAGCTAGAGGGAGAAGACACATTGCTTAGAATATTTGGTAAACCAAAGCAAGGAAACCTATTTTCCTACACTAGTGGAAGTTCTTCAAGTTCTGATTCATTATCATAGTAAGCCCCATTATGACTTGAACTTATTTTCTTCTTTGATATTAAAGAGGTGAATTAAACAGGACAAATTGTGAGATTTTACTCAGTAGAATAGAATAGTTCCAAAGATCTGCAGCCGTTTGTACGGATGTTAAATTATAAAGCTTATACATATATATATTTGATAAAATCATTTCTCAGTGGATTATGTGCCAGTCATTACTAATACCAGTCAGTTCTGAGTGACAAGACAAATAATTTTTCTTAGGGGTCTACTTATTCCTTAGCCTTGACCATTGTGCAGCAAGACTACATGCACAGGCGTTATGACCTTTTTCTAGATACAGTTTAAACCATTCTTATCCGTTTTTACCGAAAAAAAAAGAGAACTATTTTCTGTGTCCACCTTTTAAAATAAATAAGGAGCATGTTCTATCTATAAACTCTTTTCTCTGAGGTCAGGGGACATAATTGCACTGCTGGCATCTTCCAGTGCTTTGGCACAGGTGTAATTTGCAAGACCTCTCTTGGACACCAGGTTCTAGATCAGAGAGATGAATAATCCAGTACTGCAAGTCAGTCTGCTTATTTACAGCATTAAACTGGAAAATGTTATTCTACACCACTTTAATAATATTTAAATCTTGCTTTAATAATATTTAAATCAAGAAGCATACATTACAACACTGGCTAAGTGTAGTGGCCAAATGCAAATGAAGTTTTATATTGAGAAAGAAAAAGGGATGGTTCCTACCTCAAAGCCAGAAAATACGAATATGCACATTCAATTTAATTTTATTACATTTCAATTCATTTTTTTATTCTTCACTGTGGAGCTCTGTGCATTAAAAAGCATAGTTTGTGTTATGACAAGGGTAGATGTAGCCAATGACACTGTAATCTCTCAGCCTTCCCAGGAACTCTGGAACAGGGGAATATCAGCATTCCTGTTCTCAGCAGAAGTGACAAAATAGGGATGCTGTTGCATGCTCACGGGAAATATGATAAGAGTGAAATAATTTTATACTGGATCTAGTATGAATTTATTTAGGACATCCATCCTAACAGAGAGCAAAAAACTGCAGGTAATATTGAAGAACACGTTAAATATGAAAAGGTCAGAAATTTTATTAATGTTCTAAGGAGTCAAGAAAAAGGCAGAAAACAGTAGTCTTAGCTACTAATAAACACACTAGATAGAAAAATGGAACAGCTTTTGCAATCCATCTTTATCCCTTTCTGTCATTTGCATTTAATAAAGAAAGGAGGTTTTGTTCTGATAAACAAGAAATGGAATGTCTCCATCAAATACAACCACTCAATCCCTCAAATTCAGCTGATTATATCAGTTTCTTAACTTCCTGAAGCTCTGAAGCATTATGTAATATTCTAAAATTTTACAAGTGTTTACTGCTATTTCTTTTAAGGTTCCTTGTTGACATTTGAAAAATTGTCAGTACACCATTGACAAGCACATTAGGGGAACAGCCTGCTTTTAATTATCGCCAGTAGGAATTCTGTGACTCACAAATGAAAGTTGCCATGGGCTCCCAAAATTTCCTGGAAGATATGTAAACTTCAGAAATCAAATAGCTGCCCAATAAACTGTAAGCACTCCACAAAATGAGGCAGTTTCCAACAATTTCATAAGGAAGATGAATTATTGATGATGAGCATGGACCATAAAGATGCAGCTTTCCATGCATTTCCAGAACAGGCACAAGAAAGGGAAGGAGGCTACATTCTGCTAATTATGCAATAAACTTACATTTATACTCTTGTAAAATAGAAATTAAACACAGAGAACTATCAAAAGATCAAGTCCTCTCTGTGAAAAATATTATTCTGAATTATAAAGAAATAAAGTAGAGAAGGAGAGTTATCCAGGGGTCTCAATAAGTTACAAGTATGGAATTATACATTAATTTCAAAGTACAATAAAGCAGTTCAGTAATGTTTCTGCTTTAAAGTACCTTTTCCTATATGACCTTCATTTCTCCAGGGAATTGCTGTAAAACACTCAGAACTTCACGAAATACTGTCTCTAAAAATTAAAATCTTGTGACAATAACAAAATTTCATCCTGAGCCAGTTGTACAGATTTGTAGTTTCTTATTTAGGAGTGCACTGGTACATTTTTATGTGGTTGTCTGACAAGAGGTCATTTTGTTCTACAGCCTTTCAGCCAAAAATGCAGTGAACAAAATCTGACCTAGGGCGTAACTGGAGAGCTGATTTGGCCTGAGAGAACAAAAATTCCTTGACATTCAGTCCAAGATTCTCTGAGTTCTGTCACAGCCAAGAAAAAGGGTTTTCCATTGTTTGAATAGTTGTGTGATATAACCAGGGAGAGAATATCATGGTCCTGAAATAATTGCCTTGTTGAGGCCTGGTAGATTATGAATCATTCTGAAAACTATGCCTTGGGTAATAAGTGAGTCTTTACAGCAACACACAGAAGATCAGTTCAGTGTTTTCCCATTGAGGTCTAAGATGTTCTCATAAAAGCATTTCTTCATAGACCTTCTTTGAGATACTAAACATTGCAAATTATCTCTGTTGATACAGGGTGTCTGCCTTATTCTGCACTCTGTCCATTATATTTTATGGTCCCTTGATATCATCCACAAACACTAATACTAAAGGAAAAAAAAATCTCTCATGGGCAGAACTGTCTTTCCCTTTAAAAATCAAACTCATTAATACAATCTCAGTGCCATTGCTAATTGCAATTAATTTTCCTTTTATACTTTAAACTATTACTCAGACTCTGACCAAAGCTTGCACTATTTGCAAGATTCCAGGGCATCATAATCTCTTAACCTCTCATCCAAAGGATTTCATGTTTGAGGCAGATGGAGGAGTGGGGCCTTGTTAGAGCCTTGTAATGACACTGAGTCCTTCTGTAGGAATTCCCTCCTGGGAAAGGGAACACAGCACACAGTGGATATAAACCTCACCAGCTGCACTCCAGGTTGTGCAGCTGAACTGGAAAATGCTTTTTCCTCCCCTTTCCATCCAAACCCATAAAGTTAATCATCAAAAATTAATGCTCCCTAAGACCTGTATTAGGCATACCAAGCTGTGCACGTATCAGCAACTGTATTAAGTTTGTTCTCCCACATGGCCCAAGCACACCAGCTGGATTACATTTCTGTTACACACAAGATAACATATAATTAGCTAAGGAAGCCTGTCTGTAGAGAAGGGATTTTAATGGAATGTACCCAAGCAATGAAATCTCTAAATAGAGAGAGAAGCCAGAGAATATCTTTAGAATCAGGATTTGGAGGAGAGAGTTGATATTTCTTTGCTTTCTTGTCCTTTGATGAAATTTAAAGATGTAATTAAAGCCTTTGCCAAAATACTTCATTTTGTTGGGAGACTCAATTTCCAGCTCACAGGCCTTTTTCACATAAAAAAATTAACCCATCTCCACAGGACAGTCAGTGGACAGGATATGTAGAATGTCAGATATTACTTCTCCTTCATCCCAGGATTATTTAGAGTTGAATTAATAAACAGGAGTGAGAAAATAGCTGAACAGTAGAGGCAAGTGGGAAATTAGTTTTCCAATGAGATTTGAAAAAGAGATGAAGAGCTGATGAGGCAGAGAGATAGAGGAAAGTACCAGATTTAAAGAATTAGAAAGCAGCATGACCTTGTTAATTTTTCTATCAGTCTACAGCTGTCTTCACTTAACTTATACAAGAAATGATGCTCAGTCGTAAAATCTAATATTAAACCAAAGACTGCTATTTCTTTGAGTAATGATTAATATGAATTGAAATGAGCCATCCTGAATTTGAGTGACAGACCTTTAGGTAAATTACATGATAGGAATAATGAGAAATTTTAAGACTCTCAGTGCATAATGTTTTGAATGACAGAATTCTTTTTATAAGAATTAATATGGAAAATTATA